TACTTTTGGATGACATTCTCCCCATGTCACATCGGTCGTTGTGGTTGTTTGACCATACTTCACAAGCTCGTTGGTGTGGGTTGGTAAAAGAGAGGCTAGGACCAAGTTTAGATTTAACTTGCTACTGACGTTGAACCACGGCTAGAAATCTAACTTGGTTTTCTTCACAGTGTACATACCACTTTGCCACCATTCCAAGCTTCAATAGATGCTGATAATTAAGCTGTATTTTATTTTAGTAAGCACAAAATAAGGCTGTTCACCATTTTTGTTTAAGCATTTTCATTTATACGTGTCCTTATTGATAACATTGTTTACATGTAACTACAGTGCACAATGACAGCAATAGCAAGTGAAATTGGAAAAGCGTTGTCAAATGTTGCGAATGACGATTTTATTCTTTGAAAAAAAAATGTTGTTGCCGGTTCCATTTTCCACACACGCACAATTTAAACCCGGTTGAGCCGCATCATCTACAGGTTTTGCTCGCTAACCTCATGTGCGCCTGTGCGTTTCCACGCCCCCCTCCCCACCCCACTTTGTTGCAGAGCAAGGAGGGCGGATTCCCCAAGGAGCTGTGGCTGGCCGTGGGCAAGGACGGCGTGGCGGTGCACAAGAGGGGCGAGCCACGGCCCCTGGAGTCCTTCACCTACGAGCAGATCCTGTCGTTCGGGGCCCCACAGCCCAGCTCTTACCGGATTGCGCTGGAGGGTCGCGAGATGCTCTTCGAGACCATCCAGGTGAGTGAGCGCTTGGCCATAGAGGGGGGGGGAGGGGGGGTGGCATCTGGCCATCGTCGGTGCCTAACTTCTGCAGCGCAGTTGATTTGTTGAACGATAAAAGCGTGCGGCAGATATCACAGACACGTGTAAAATAATTAACTGCAATCGCTAACGAGATCAGCCATAATGTAACTACAATACAAGTCAATAAAATATCTTTCCCAGCCAAATGTGCTTGATATGGTAACTTATACAATATTTTTTCCGACTGTATTAAGAATGGCCTTTTCTTTAATTAATCTGCTGGATAAAATCATGTTCAGGGTTTTATGCATATATATAAAATAATTATGTGTGCCTAAACTTGTCATCTAAAAAAAACACAAAAAGTGTTTTGTGTCTCTAAAATGTATATACACCTGCGTACACACAACAACAACAAATTCCACCATCCACAAGATTCTTATTGACTCTTTATCCGGGAACATAAAAATAGATTGTTAATTATTGTTATTTATACAACTGCTTCACAGCCTGTGGTAGTTTTTATATAGCGCATTGATATGCAAAGAACCATCGCGGGCAATCAATTGGTCACACTTTAGCAATGCTCCTGTAACGTCGCCACTGAGCCTGCTCCACGTTTGATGTTTGTCTCACCACAGGTGTTGGAGGTCGCCAAGCTCATGAAGGCATACATCAACAGCATCGTGCACAAGCGCTACAGCCGCCACTCTCTCAGCAGCCGCAGCAGCACAGGCCCCATCGTGAGGACAAGATGAGGCCTGCCGAGTGTGTGGCCAAGAACGTTTCCCATATGGCGATCGGAAGCTCAGAAACATCCTAGAGATCCCAGGGGGCCGGGAGTACTTGGAATGCAGTGTCATACTCGCACCCTCTCCAAGGCTGTGCTCTGACGTTTGTTTTACTCTTTGCTGTCCGCATCACACCAGGCACGGATTGACCCCAGCACACATGCCAAGTGATTGTTGGGTTGTTACAACAGGTACAGGCAACACTGAGATTCCTATGTGGTCTTTAATGTAAATGCATGGGTTATTCTGCTCCGACAGGCAAAACACAACTCACAGCGGCTTACCCAGTTTAACATGTTAACTTGAATTAAAAGGTTTGAATTGCCTTTTTACAGTATCTATCAATGCCTATAGCGCAAGTTTTCCAAAACTGTCAGTGAGTGCTAACCCTGCATATATAGCGTTATTTTTATGCTGTTAAGATTTGCACAACTTTTAGATATCTATCTTAATTTTTTTTTCCACCCAGAAATGTGTCCTTTTTTCAACTTTTTTATACATGACCCGGCTTTTACTAAAGTTAGCATCGGGTATTTAAAACAAGCAGTGTTAATGTAAACAATTTCGATGGTAGAGAGATCATTACAAATGGTTGCTTTTTAATTCTTTCAAATAATTTTAATAAAATCATATTTAGTTTGTTTAACTGTATATTACGCTGCTCTGTTTTAATTACTGACCACAATGTACACATTCCTCATCCGGTGTGCAGTGAGTGTGGGTAATGACCAAAATGTTTAATTGAAACCCTCAGGCATATTAAGTTGAATTACTTGATTCACTACCCGTGGACAAATGTGTTTTATAGACAGTGTGGAAGACACTTTGGGAAGTAATATATTATGTTTTGGCAGTTATGCTCAAATAAAAACACAATCATAAAAAAACATAGTTTGTTGTCTATGCAAAATCATACTCTCATGATTTATCGCTTAAGGGAATTAGTATAATTTGTCTAACTTGTTATCACTTGCCAGTATATTTTCACATGTGTCTCTTTACTTTCAAGCACAAACTCGTACTCGAGATGGTCACTGCTATACGCATATTTCCAAAACAGACTTGAATTTATCAAATGCCGCCGAGTGACCTGTGAATATTTTACCTGTACATTGCCTATGTATACTAATTTATCAAATGTTTTTTTTAAAGCTCTTTTAAAACATTACAATAAAGTTTACAAAGTTCTGAAGATGTTTTGAGTTGCACGAGTGTGACTTTTTGGACTTTCATATTTTCGACACTTTTCCCGTTTTAGTAATTGTTCAAAACACAATCAGAAAAACTGTTTCAGTAACCTGAAAGAGGTTAAATATTTTCCATATATGAGGCGTTCCGTGTTAATGTATAATGGTGCTAATTAATTTTCAGCCATCGTTTTGGTGTTGTTAAAACTATAAATGTAGCATTTGTATAAAATGCTTTGTAAAAATCACCCATCACTTTACATTTTAAAAGCACTACATTTTAAACGTTGCATAATTTCCCATTCAAAGAGGCAGACAATGGAACATTTTGTTAAGGAATTGTGAATTAATCAACAATTTCAATAATACTCGAGTAATGATTTAGATTAATTTAGGGAAGTGAGTCTCAAAGCGCTTTAAAGGGTCCTGCATTAGTGTGTCTGGTCAATTCCATGAATGGGTTTTTATATCGATCAGGTTTAAACAGATTTTGCCCGATAGCTTTTTTTTAATGGCTGTTATAATTACGCTTTGGTTCTTTCGGTAAAGTCACGTAGAAAGAAAATAAATTAAATAATAGAATACGACGTTTCGATTGCAACAACAAGCAATCGTCATCAGAAAACAAACCTCGTGAACTTAGAAATACAATACAATGCAATCCAACACAGAGAGTCGGCTAACACAACAGTGAGCACCTTACCTGGTTGATTACGTTCTTCCAAAGATTGCTAAATTTGAGAGAGACAAAACACAGACACGGGGACACAGACAGACACAAGCAGAGAGAGAGAGACAACACAGAGGCTTATTACATTTATTTTCTTTCTACGTGACTTCACCGAAAGAACCAAAGAGTAATTCCTGCAGTCACGAAAGCTTCAAATCAAATTTGGCTTGTATAATATTAAGTGTTCACCATGCACAGTTTCGTACTTTATGCATTGACATGTGTGCAATACAAAACAGCACTGTACTTAACGTCTCTGATGTTGTGAGGGGTCACTTGGGGCATGTTCTATTTACATCCGCACAAAATTACTCCAAAAACATGAATACGATTAATTTTCCGCAGCTTCTGCGCCGCCCGTCTTATCCTCGCGAAGGCTCAGAATAGAATTCATTTAGCGCAGCCAAAGACCAACTTGCAGATGATATCTTTTAAGTATTGGATTCAAGGGCAGGGACCCAAAATGCAAGGGCGAAGTCGAGTGCCTCTGAAGCCGAGTCTATGGACTGAGGCCACACTTGTAAGGTCAAGGTTAAGGGATGAGACCTGAGAACACGTCAAGCCAGCCTCAAGCTTAAGGTCTAGAGCATTCCAAGGCTGATTTCTCAAGACAAGGCTCACATATCAGGGTGAACTTGCCACCACTTACATGTTGTTCCTCCTATTTTTGCAAATTATTGGATAACAGGATGGATTTAGCACTTACAGAAGACATTGACCTCTGTACTGTCACTTTCTTTTGTAATTAATTGATCTTGGAAATCCAGACTTTTCAGGAGGGAGATTGCATTGGGAAGTTTGGCCAAATTCCATGTTAGATGGTACTCTGTTAAATGTATGCGTTTGATGTCCACGTGACGTCAATTATATATTTTAAATGTCCCTGCTAACGAGGTTTCAATGGGCCTCGGTGCACACCCCCCATGATAAGAAACACAACATTCGATCGTATCTCCGATTACTAATGTATAGAGCTGGGGGCGGTTAAGTCGATCAAGTTGATTAACCGACTGAAAATTAAAATCGACGACTTTCCCGTGGCTTCGACACTTGAGCCACGAGCACGAACGTCGGCCGAGGGGAGGGGCGGCCGAGGGGGGGGGCCGAGGGGGGGGGCCGAGGGGGGGGGCGGCCGAGGGGGGGGGCCGAGGGGGGGGGCCGAGGGGGGCCGAGGGGGGGGGCGATGAGGGGGGGAGCGATGAGGGGGGGGGCGATGAGGGGGGGGGCGATGAGGGGGGGGGGCGATGAGGGGGGGGGCGATGAGGGGGGGGGGCGATGAGGGGGGGGGCGATGAGGGGGGGGGGCGATGAGGGGGGGGCCGAGGGGGGGGGCCGAGGGGGGGGCGATGAGGGGGGGGGGGCGATGAGGGGGGGCGATGAGGGGGGGGGGACCGAGGGGGGGGCCGAGGGGGGATGAACCCCGAGAATACCGGAGTAGGGCGGGCGACTTGAACGGCGGAGGTGGAGCAGACAGAGCGAGGGGTGGGGGGAGAATAACAACAGGGGAGGTGGCAGAGAAGGCGAGAGAGAGAGGCCAAGTAGGAGGGCGGAGAGAGCGACAGAGAGAGGAGGGCCGAGGCGTGGACAGCAGGAGTCGGAGACCGGGAGGAGGAGGAATAAGGAGAGCGAGCGGAGAGGGAGTAGGAAAAGTAGGAGGGAGGTCAGGAGCGGAGAGAAGCAGGAGGACGAGGAGAGCAAGGAGGAGAGCAAGGAGGAGACGAGAACAAGGGGAGGATCGTCATGGCGAGCGAGCAAGTGGACGCCGCGGGCCCCGCCGCCGTCTCGGCGCTGGAGGCGGCTCTGCTGGGCGCGCTGGGCCCACGCGAGCGGGCCGTGCTGTACGCGCAGGGCGTGCTGCTGTGGCACAGGCCACGCCACAGCGCCCTGCTGCTCTTCGCCCTGCACGGCCTCTTCTGGTGGGTCACGCCGTCATCGGTCACTACCACCACCAGGCGTCTGTTTTTTTTTTATGTCCGGAGGGATTTTCCTGAGCGCCCTGCCGCTTTGGGTCGCTGAGAGCCCGCGACAGCCTGCCCTAGGCCTGACCCCCCCCCCGCCCGCCTGCCCCAACACCACCTCGCCTCACCGCTGTCTTGAGGGCGGTGGAGGTTAAAGTCGGGTTGGAGTGAGGGACGACAATGGTTGCGTTTTGTTGGCTTCGCTTGTGAACGTTTTCGAGACGGGGAGTGTGGGTTGATGTACGTGAACCGGTTATTTTACAACGCTCCTGTGTGTGTGGTGTGGTGTGTACAGCGACGATTGTTTCGTCGTGTCGTGAGTCGCCAGTGTCGGCACGCCAACAACATTGAGGTTGTCGGGTGGTATAATGATTATAATGCGACACGATCGGGACGTCCACCTCCCGTAGTATTTGTTTTTCTAACGAAATGAATGCGTTGCTACGTTATGGTACAGGTTTTTTCTGCCACGCATTGATTAATACCATGCCTGTATGAACCCTTTTAGCAGTGCCCTCCCTACCTTGTTACGGACAAATTCGGACCTCATTGGTCACCCCGGTGCCCTGATCAATCTCAACGTTCGTCCTACTAAGTCCCATCACAAGGGAGAAAGACAAACAAATATACAAAAATAAATGTTGCCCGTATTGAAACGGCTTTACGTCGTATGGACCTGAACACGACAAGAATGTGGGTGAACCTTGATGGGTTGACAGGTATCAACTACACGCTTAGTGATTGTGGTGGAGTGATCTTGCAGGTAAACACAAACACCGCCGTCATTGCGGCGGTGTGGTTTGTCATGATAACATTAAATGATGTACAGTAGGCTACTACGAATACTTTCAAATTCCAAACTTACCCAGTGGCCTGTTGAAATAATATATTTTAATCTACCAATGTACAGTACTTCAAATTACCATTTATGGTGTTGTATTCGGCCAGCAGCATAACGTTATGCTCGGCAGAAAAAAACAATGTAATGTTGTACGAAAGTAAAAAAACCTTAGTCCAGCAGTGGATCGATCGTGGCCGATGATGAAACTCCGCATTCTAGTTGGGCTTCTTCAGATCCTGTGGATATGCGATAAAACAGGACACGGTTGCACTTGACACTTGGATAGGTCTCATTGTCTTTGACCGGTCCTTCCAGCTGATAACCCCCCACTCATGTCGGTGTCGGGAACCCATTGGCAGCACAGCTGGAATCTCAGACGTGCTTGGGCAGCGCACAAGTGTGTATGGTCCATGGAACAAGTGCCTGCCTGGGCTGTACATTGTAGTGGTACTCTCTAAGTCAATAGTTAACCGTGAAGTGGCGTGACGGGACAGTGTAACGTGTCTTTTATATATATACACGGTTTAATACAATGACTCACGTGAACTTTTTGAATCCGTGAACTTTCAAATGTTATTCTGTGCTATGCTGTGAACCCTGCTGCATGAATTCCATTGCAGACTATGGCAAACATCAGTGTCAAGTGATATCTTAGCAGGGCCCTGGGTCAACCTCCCCCCCCCCCCCCCCACTTTAACTTGCATGGAGTGATGGTCAAATAACCCCTAACCACTCAAATGTAAATTATAATTATTGGAAGATCGTTTGTAACTGTGCTTATATTTAGGTCCCACTTAACGGGTGTGTCACTGCATGGAGGAATAAAATGAATGCGACCAATTACTGTGCACAGACAGTGGATGTTTTTGACATTCTGCATTAACACGATGTTTGATGTTTCTATATTTTACAGGGGTATATCCAAGATGACGCTCACATTCAGGCCATACTTTGTACTGGCGTCATTTCTGCTGCTGCTGATATCTATAGAGTCATGGAAATATAGAAAGTGGCTTAAAATACCCAGCATCTTTGGTACGTACTCAGTAATGTTAAGTCACACGAAACATATCCTGTATATCACACATCGGATTTGTTTTCCCTTGTTATATTATCATGTTCTGTCTTTTTCAGGGAGACGCAGAGATGACTCACCAAGTGAAAGGTAATTATCAAAACTTCACATTCAGAACTACCTATTGCTTCACTTAATATAAACTAATAAAACACCGCAAGAAGAAATGCTGTCAAAATACACATTGTAAGTTTCAATTATGGTGTCAGTCACAAATACTCTACTTTTAATTTCAAGAAAAAAATATTGAGGTCTTAGAATTGTGTAATCGCTGCTTATTAATATTTTAGATTTATTAGCTTCCAGTTTAAGTTGTGATGTTTGTCATTTTAGCCTAGACGAGGATGTGATCAGGTGTTGTTCAAGTCCTCACCCTGGCTAGCTGCCATATTGTAAAGTATACTCAGAACTTATTTAAAGAAACGCTCCCATTACTGGGCAAGTTGAAAAAGAGATTTGTTTAGCACATGCTCGCTAAAACGGTCATGTTTCAGGTCTTCGTTCAAAGAATCCCGTGAGATCCGTTTTGTAAAGCGCAGTATTTGTATAACGAGCATATTTTCATGTTTAACTCTTGATGGCAAGCTTTCCGGAATCCTAAGTGCTATGTGGATCAGGTTGCACCCAGGCATTGCTGACACAGAGGTTGGGGGTGGAGAAGGGGGCATTTGCGACCTGTGGGAAAAATGGTTACTATAGCACTGCCACGGCAGGAAAAAAAACATGTTTGAACATGACCGTTGTTGAATTTGATGTTCGGAATTTGTCATCACAATGATATTTCATAGCTGTTGCATGACGTTTATTTTGCTATGTAAAGTTATTTAAGATAGTGCACTCATGATTATTTTACGCTATACATTTTTATCATAAAAGTCTTGTGCTTATACCATTAGCTACCATAAAGTGTGATATGTTGGGCCTCCTGTCATACGGTAAACTGCCTGTGATTTGAGAACTCATGTGACCCAGCTTTTATGGGGTTAAAGTGTTTAGTGAGTGGATGGATGCGTGCATGTGTGTGTGTTGGCTTGTATGTGCACAGCTGGACAGTAGTTCATCCTGATCTGCTGAGTGTACCAGAGCTTTGCCGTCGGCTGGCTGAGACTTGGTTCTCCCTCCTTACCTACCTGCACAATATACTCGCTTTTAAAAGAGAAAATCGTGGAAAGGTAAGCACACATTTTCCCCATCGCACTACTGGCATAATAAACTGATTGAGTTGATGCTGATTGTTTCGTCTGTCTTTGTTTTCTGACACAGTTCTGCCTGATAGTTTGCATCTGCTGTGCTGTGCTGGCTGACATTGGACGCCGTGTGCCTGGTATTGTAGTCTGCTACCTCATCTGTAAGTATGCTCGTACCAACCACAAAAGGCCATTAAATAATATATTACCATAAATAATTTTTACTCCGCATCCTTGCTCAATTGTAAATGGATTCCCATAACGAACACACTTATGTCACTGTTCAACATAACTATAATTTGTGATCATCTGCAAGATGAGTGCAATCAAATGTTCCTTTTTTTGCTGTTCGCATAGTACTGGCAGCCCTTCTCTGGCCATTGGCTTCATACTACGGCATAGGACACAAGATACGCCACCTGTTTGATGGACTTCTTCACATGCTGGACTACAGCCGACAGGCGCTAATCGCTCATAGATCTGCAGGGGGAAGAAGTGAGCTTGGCATGATTACAGTCTGCTCCGTGTTTACATGTATTTTTGTTGCTGCTTGTTAACATAAAGCACTGTCTGCTGGTAGGGAGTCTTGAATCACTATCATGAGATGCCAATCATCGCAGAATTATTTGGAGCAATAAGAACTTGTTTGTTACATACTTTGTAATTTATTGTTGCAATTTTTGGATTCTCTTATGTTTTAAAATAAAAGGAGATGATGAAAAAGGAACATTGGATGAAGATGAGGTGGAAACTGACAGTGAAGATGAATTGGCTGCTTTTTACCCAAAGGTAATCACACCACTTGATATTTAGCTGTTTTAAATATAAAAATCACATTTAATATAATAAAAATAATAACCGAAAAACGAGTTCGAAACTACATTCAAGTGTGAAACCAACTTTTATGTGTAACTACTGTGCTGCATCTCCTGTACCACCGCTACCTGGAGCACAGCTGGACCCTGCCACAGTGGAAGAGGCGCTGGCACTGTCTGAGTCGGAGCCATCGGATGACGAGGCATCGTACCGCGAGGCCGTAGGACTGGGTCTGATGAGGGGAGGCACGCCGCAGCTTACAGATGGCTCCGATGGTGCATAGCTTTTATGTTAAATTTTTTATTCACACGTACATTTACACTTTTGGTGGATGGTGAGATGATGGTATGTATAATGTTATGCCTACAAATTTAAAAGCGCTTAATATACAAAAAGTATTGGAAAATGATATCAAAATTTGTCATACTATATATTGGTGTACAAAATATTACTGATAATCATCAAATAAGATTAAATATTGGTGCTTTGGCTTTGCACATGATCAAACAAACCTAACTTTCTGTCATGGCCAGAAGATTTATCAATGTAATAGAAGACAGACTACGAATGTAATAAGGAAGGCGTGCCCACATTTTGGTGTTTCTAGACATGGAGCATCACAGCCAGCACAGTGACCTGGAAGACACGTTTGCGCGTGACCTGGCCGCCTTCCCGTCAGAGCGAGGTGGTGTGGGCCTGGATAGCGACGATGATGACACCTTGGGAATTCCCAGCATCCTGGAGACACGGCCCAGCCGTCCACGCCCTAACTCCCTACGCCAGAGCCTCCCAGCCGACAACGAAGACTTCTATGACTCGGACACTGACGCTATCAATAGTGAGATGTCCATGAGTGGGTTGCCCTCTCCCGATGACTTTGTGGGAGAAAGGATGCCCGAGGACGTCTTCCTGCCTGCCGACGATGGTTCAAGCATGGCGGACTGTGAGGAGGAGCAGCACAGTTCAATGTTTATGGGTGGGAATAGCGGGAACCTGGCGAACGAAATTGTAAATGCGGCCTTCACGGCTATGGTGAGGAACACCCTGTCGGCACTTACATCATCCGACTCAACCTCATCCGACTCCCGCTTGGCAACATCTCGGAACCAGGCAGCACCGGCAGGCAGGTCTCGGCAAACCGCCGCTCTCAGAGCTGAGAAGGGAAACCGGCGGCACCACACTCGGGCAGCAGGCGCTGTGGCTGCGGAGCGCGTGCCCATGACTGCTGCTGATGCAGAGAGCTTTTATGCGGACACGGACGAAGAGGCGGAGGAGATAAATGACGGGTTTGAGCTACTGGACCAGACGGAGCTGGATCGCTCTGACACGGATGGGCAGCACGGCCGGGAAGGGCGCGCCTCGGGAGGCAGTGCTCAGACTCGCGGCCAGAGCTCGGGCTTCCTCTCCAAGCTGCTTCGCAAGCGGCATTAAAGCACTAAGTTCCCCGCGCTAGTTGACTGCTGCTCATCATAGTCCAGAATAGGCTGTTTATCTCTTATTTTTCTCTGTTGTGACTCGCCGTATTTTATCATATGACACTATCGGCAACTGCAACGTTAGCAGTGGAAATGGTCACGATCACTGGACTTGCCTTTCACTTGAATGCAGCTTCTGAACAAATTAATGACAACACGTTTCTGGATTAATGTGCTCAAAGTATTAACAAAAAGATATTGCTTAGACCTATTGTGTATAATTGTGTGTATAATAGCATTTTTTTCAATTGCGATTGGAAAAAACATTGCACTTGGCAGTGGCTAGTATTTTTATTTTAAAATAGTGGCAATTCATGGGTGCGTTTGACCAGTGTTCTTCAACTGGCGATCTACGGACCACATTGCTCTTGGAGTGGCCCATTGAGCTATGGCCTGCCGAGACAGAGATACAAATTGGTGAAATAATAGCTAAATAATAAACAAGAGATGGAGATGAGACCTGTAGACAAAAAATAAGTTGAGTGAGATGACTGCAAGATTAACGAGATGGAGATGATCGATCTGGAGACCAGAGGTACATAGTCATCCCTAGTACAGTATACATCAGAAACGTTGTTACTGACAAAAGACAATTTAACAAAAGCTGAAAGTACAAAAAGAAGCTTGAGAAGCATGCTGGAAATTAAACTGAGAAACAGAAAAAAGAACACGTGGATTGGTGAGAAGACTGCAAGTTAAAGGCTACATTGACTAATAAGCAAAGTAAGTGGACTTGGGCATAATACGTCACAAATAGGGGTTGATGGCCAGTGGTTGGCCGTAACGATGGAGTGGCAGCCAAAGGTGGAAAAACACCCCCAGCGCATGACCACCGTAAGAAATAGAGCGATGAGATCGTCTCGTGTTCAGAATTTAATTGGATTGTTGCATTACATGACCGAGAGACGGCGATGTCTGGGGGGTGGAAGGGTAGGCCTTCATCTCACAAGAAGAGAACATCATTGCTGATGTATAGGTATTATGTCAATGCCAAGTGACATCGTAATTTATGTATAGGTGACACTGATAAAATTTGCATGTGGCCTGCCAGCACATGCTCGTTGTTTTGTGGCTCGCTCGAAGATATAGTTGAAGAACGCTCCAGTAGACCATACTTTTATTATATTTGTTGTGGTGCAATTTGCCCATTGTGAATAACATTGTGTAACAGGAAGCAAAAAAGAGTGATTATTACATTTATTGTAAAACAACAGTCCCAGACAATTTGACCATTGCTAATGTATGTTCTATGAGAATTGCATTAAACATTCAAGTCACATGTGCTTCTGTCAATGCTTATTTTGCCGTTATTTGATTTTGTTTAAAAACAATTGCAGTCTTATCAGAACACGATTTTGCGTATACTGTACACGTTTTGATAGCCTTGCAGAATAATTGAGCATTACAATTTTTCAGCGTGGTGTATGCATGTCATTCCGTGAAATCATATAACCGTGTTGCGCAATGTGGTTAAATTCAATGAGATGTAAGTATTGCTCGTGATAAATATATATGTGTTTAATGATGTAACATTACGAACATCACAATGTCTTGTACAATATGAGGACTCGTACCACACATCCACTCGGTTCATTGCAAACTTCAAAGGTTAACCACTGTACATTTTATTTGAAATGTGTACATATTGCATTGTAAATTCATACGTATCCTCTACTGCATAATGCATTTTCTCACACTTATCTACTTGCTTTTTTAAATGAGCTTTATTTTTAATTCGAATTAGCAAGTTATTTAAGCTTGTATCTGGCACCATGTGCTTTATTATTTTAAATTCTAAGTAGAGGTAATTTAAGCTTGTATCTGGCACCATGTGCGTGGCCAGGTTTACAGCAGTGCTGATTTTATCTAAATTTACACAATAGCGTCCACGACAGCAAAAACAAGGCCTGACACTGTTTTAACCACACAATTCCCAAGATCAATATTACAGTTTGGATGGGGACACTTTTGCATGCCCCTCGGAATCCGTTGCAGACACATCTATTTTTGGTGCGGGCATCTTGTCGTGATCTGTAAGTGGGATAAAAATATGACATTACAACGGTTTTGCAGTGGGCGAGATCAGTGGCCTGCATTTGCTGATTATTACTGCTTTGCGATGGTGGTTTGTGACTTGTGTGCGAGTGCTTTATTCCGTCACCTGTGACTTGCTTTTCTCAGTTATATTGCCTACCCTGCACTTTAAGAAAAGCTTAAAATGAATTAGTCTAGTTTTATAAGTGTCAATGAAAAGGTATCTCTAGTCAGCAAAAACAAACTTTGCTGTAAGTGGTGCTGGAGCATCATCAGACTTATTAAACATTGCCTTATGGTGTATGGGTAGCTTGATTGCCATTGAAGCGTTGCATTGCTTGTTTCTGTAGCCCCCTCTTAATTTAGTCCATATTTATTTAAAATAAAATGTACATAACATTTACAGCCAGGTAATCTTGGTTAAAATATATGTAAAGCAAAATAGCGATGTTAAAGCATTCATTACATTAAATTGCAATTTGCTGCTCCACAGCTTGTGTGGCTGCGTGTGTTTGATATCACCTTCACCCACCTGGAATATCCCACGGAGACTGGTATAGGCTCTGTGCTGCATCCACCTTCACCGTCTCCCCAGTGATGAAGGATGCAGCAGGTGACAGCAGGAAGCAAACGACTGGCGACACCTGGCCAGGAATACAAATTGTGACTACTCCGAAAACGGAGTATTTCTTCAATTGTTTTATATACTTTTTTAAAATGTATAAGCAGGAAATAAGAACATGCCTTGGGAGTTCGTCCAGGTGGCCTGCTTTTACAAGCAGATATACTTGTTGGATACGTGCATTGCAATATTCAAGCATGCTTCGGTAAAAGCAAGGTAACTTAACCTGAAAGGTGCGTGTTTGTCAAGTAGTACATTTAACTACAGTGGACATTAAAAGCTAATACAATTGCCAAATGTTGAGACATTTCAAAGTTTTATGGGGGAATTATTGAACATTTAATAGCTTTGGATATTAGCTGTGTACTGTGTAGATATTAATTCACACCTTTTAGGTCACTGGCTTGTGTGTATTCTGATTTTAAATTACGTTTTCTGGCTACTGGTAATTTTGGATTGAACACGTAGTGACATACCTCCTCTGGCAAACCAAGCCTCTTGGCAGGGATCCTTGGCTTCATCATATCAAATGGAGATTCTGACAAATGCTTATAGTTTTCAGATGCAGTTTGGGAAAATATTGTTCCCTGCCAGAGTAAGAGACAACATATAATCACTTTACTGGAAATGGAAATAATACATTGAATTTAACATTTCTATAAAATACTGCTTGAAGGGCAGGTCAAGAAATTATGTTTCCAAATAAAATTACCATGGGGTAGGCTAATCTCCCATTTGCACTCCCAAACCAGTGGTTAAAGAATCACATTCCTTACTCTGGTTCTTTCGGGAAAGTCACGTAGGCTTCTCCATACCAAGAAATCACATTCTGAAGCAAGGGAACGTTTATCCACAGAACAAACACTACTGCCATTACAAAATGGTATTCCAATACTAAATGGATTTGGCTAAACTCTCCATTGCAAGAATGTCCTGACATCGAATTTTGAGAGACGGTGCTGCTTTCCAAGATAAATGGAATTATAAAATGTGCAGCAATGGCATAGTGGTTGGTGCATTGGGAAAATAACCTGGCGACCTGAGCATTATTCTCAGTGAATAAATGTGGCAAGTGATATCAGAACGTCTGTCTTCCCCTCCTTCAACGAGCATGGTCAAATATAGTCAAATAAACCCCATGACGAACCTGGTATGGAGAAGCCTCCATCCATAGGCAGAATGTGAAGGGATGAAGTTAGTTTGAGTTATGTTATCGACCCGGAAAGGATAAATCGCTGAGTTTTCCCCCGACTAGGATTTGAACCGCACAAATTTAAAATCCGCTCTAGCTGCTGCACCATGCTGGCTGGAACCACGATAATATGATAAGAGGCTGTGATCGTACCGGTGCAACAGCATTGATGCGGACGCCGCTGCTCGCCCACTCGATGGCCAGGCTCTTAGTGAGGTTGTCAACGCCTGCTCGTGCCGCGCCCGTGTGCCTGGCAGGTGGTGCACGTTAATTGTTATTCTATTGGGCTTTATCCAGGTAATAAAGTTTCCTCCCAAATGCAAAACACTCCTTGAAACGGGGAATTGTTCAAACATGGTAATGCAGCACCCTCCTGAAAAAAGTGTCATGAGACTTGATGAAGATATACTGGCTATATAGCAGAATTATTTTAGTATGTTGCAAAAAACGTAAAAACTGGTGGGAATAGATTTTTCTTGTACACACGACTGCATAGGCAAGGAATGAAATGTACTCACGACATTCCCGGAAACCCTCTCCACATGTCAGCAATTATATTTACGATGACTCCACCGTGATCTTTCATCCACAAGTTGTACACTGCACCACACAAAACGACAAATTAGCAGAGAAGCCAATATAAGGAAATGGTGTTCAAGTGCTGTAAACACGTTGACATTCGCATAAATTATGCCTTATGTTGGTGATGAAACTTCATGTGAAACAAAAGTGATAAACTTCTGGAAAATATATTCCCCAATGTAGTTGGAATTACCATATTAATACATCTTCCATACTATTGTGCTCATTGATCTTCTCTGCTAGACAAATATGTTGCCCCCGAATGTCCCTTGTATTAGCATCATCTATATTTTCATTGTAATGTCCATGTTATCACGATTGTCTCCAATTGATCTTGGGTCATCCTCTCCTGGTAGGAACCTCCTGGTTACACCAGCCCACAGGGGATTATTGTGTCCGTCCGTCCGTTGTGCGGGGAGGGGCCGGGTGGGGAGGGAGGGGCTGGGTGAGGAGGGGAGGGTGGGGAGGGGCTGGGTGGGGATGGTGTGGATGGTGGGGCTGGGTGGGGGGTGGGAGGGGTGGGGCTGGGTGGGGAGGGGCTGGTCACCCCGTGGTGCCCTTATAAAACTCAATGTTTAACCTACTCACGCCGGCTTGTGCTCGCCCTCACAGTTGGCCATATTTGCGGAATACACCACGCCGCCGTTGACCCTGGCCATTGACCGAGCAACTCAACGTTCCTACCAGCTCCCTCCGCAGGAATGTGTTTCTTGCCACGAATAAAAAAAGGTGAGCTGGAGACTCCTGTGTATAATAACACAATATAGAGAGGAAGTTGTCGTGAAGTTGTAGAACTGAGGCTGATGGCCGAGGCGACGCTCACCCTCGCGGCAGCACAGGAAGGTGCCGGTGAGGTTGGTCTCGATGACGGCGTGCCAACCCTTGGTGCTGATGCCCTCAGCCGGACTGGGGAACTGCCCACCTCCGTTGTTCACCAGGAAGTCGATCTTTCCATACCTCTCTAGGGTGGTGCTCATCAAGCCCCGTACCTGTGGGTGACGAAAGTTCCATTTTTAACACTTCTCGGCCAAGACCGACTGCCGGGTACGGAGAGGTGCCTAAGGGAGGAGAGTCAGGGGAGGGGCCTAAGGAAGGGGGAGTCAGGAGAGGGGCCTGAGGGGGGGGGGGGGGGGTCAGAGGAGGGGTCTAAGGGAGGGGGGGTCAGGGGAGGGGCCTAAGGATATGGTGGGGGGGGGGTCAGGGGAAGGGCCTAAGGATATAGGGGGGGTGGTCAGGGGAGGGGCCTAAGGGAGGGGGGGTCAGCGGAGGGGCCTGAGGGAGGGGGGATCAGGGGAGGGGCCTAAGGGAGGGGGGGGGGTAAGGGGAGGGGCCTAAGCAAGAGGGGGGAGCCGATAGTTAAGGGGGCTGGCTACCTGGCTGGCTGCCTGGCTAACTCAAGTTAAGTTATCTTTTATACAGGTAGGAACAACAGGTTCCACACTGCCCACCAGGGATTATTTGTCCGTCGTGCATCGGAATGCAGCCCACCCATGCACCCCCCCACCGACCGTCGAGCAGGGCCACGATTGGTTGAGGATGTCGGGGAGGGTGGGGGGAAGGTAAACACGCCCAATCATCCAACTCCCCCCCCCCCCCCAAACGCCGAGCGGGGCCGTCATTGGTAGAGGTGGGGAGTGTGAGTCTGAGAGTGAGTGTGTGTGAGTCTGAGAGTGTGGGTGTATGTGTGTGAGCCTGAGAGTATGAGAGTGAGTGTGTGAGTCTGAGAGTGTGTGTGTGTGTGAGCCTGAGAGGCTGAAAGTCTGAGAGTGAGTGTGTGTGAGTCTGAGAGTGTATGTGTGCCGGAGAGTATGAGAGTGAGTGTGTGAGTCTGAGAGTGAGTGTATGTGTGTGAGCCTGAGAGGCTGAGAGTATGAGAGTGAGTGTGTCTGAGAGTGTTTCTTTTATGATCTAGTCGAGGGATTTGCTTGGTGTATTTGGTTAAGGGATCTGTCTGGAGGATCTGGTTGACACCTCTTGCTCGTGACGGATGTTGCACTGCACGGTCGTGACTCGGGCCGGGCTGCTGGGTGGGATGCAGCCACAAAGCTCTTGTGCCGCCTCCTGCAGCCGCTCCATCTTCCTCGACGCGATCACGACGCTGCATCCTGCCCAACACATGGCACCGCAGGAATGTGGCAAATTTCATCACGCCATATCGCGTACAATAGCATATGATGTCGCATTCGCGACAGGACCCTTACAATATCATCCAAATTGCGACTTGCTTTACGCCATGGGTCCCCCCCCCCCCAAATTTTTAAATTGCGATTTGTCAATAAATTTAACATTGAAAAAAACTATACACGTAATTAATTTCATCAGGTAACGTATTTTACGTGAATAAGTCTGTTAATTCGATGTTTGAAGGGTTTCATTTGCGCTCTGTGACGACCGTGCATTACAGAGTCGCAATGCATTGTGGATATCAGAGGGCGGTTTGTGCTAGAAGGCCTGAAGGTGGCGCTGTTTCTAACGCACACGTTATCAATCCACTGGTGGATGAAGGGCTTTGGGACCGTCCATAAATGACGTCACGCGATTTTGGACAATTTTAACCCCCCCTCCTCGTCACACGGCGTCACAAAGTCAGACCCCCCCTCAAATATGACGTCACAAAGCTCTGCCCCCCCCCCCAACCATATTTCCATTTTAAAAATAAAACATGCTTCAAATCGCTTTAGTAGAACGTGTTGTCTATATTTATTTAAAGTTGCGCATTTTGATGTGACGTCACATTTCTCACACATCTTCACAAATGTCTGACCCCCCCCCCCCCCATAGGTGCGTGACGTCATTTATGGACGGCCCCTTACAATACAAAATACGGACTGTTTAGAAAATTAGGTGGGCTTGGGCATCCAGCAAAGTCACGTAGGTAATTTTTTTTTTTAATGAAAAACGTATTAGTTTATAAATTTTTATTTAATTTAATTTTTTACCTACGTGAATTTATCGAAAAAACCTAAGAGTATGAATCCTTGCAATCACGAAAGCTTCAAATCTAGAACTTCATCCAGCAGTGGATTGATCATCGCTAATGATGATGACAATGAGCATTGCAAACCAAAAATAATTCCACGATGTGGGGCGATGTTTGTCTCCAACATTGCGGACACACGATGTAATTTTGGTCTGATTAAAATAAACAAAAAAATGAATTACGAGAAGGTAAAATATGGAACGCTTCACGAATTTGCGTGTCATCCTTGCGCAGGGGCCATGCTAATCTTCTCTGTATCGTTCCAATTTTAGTATATGTACTGCCGGAGCAAGTACAGAAGCATAGCATGCCACGTCCACTATTTATACCAACCTGTTTGCGACGTACTTTACACCATGGGACCCCCGAAGGTAATTAATGTATTAATTACGCGTTGAAATATTACAAACATCATCATAGTTAACCAATATCGTCTGTGAATATTGTGTACGAAATTTATTTTCGTTATTAGGCAGATATTTTAAGGGTTTTATTTGCGAACTTGCGCGATAGCTGTGTACAATGCATTGTGGGTCCACGCGGACGGGTTGCGTTAGTGGCCTCAAGGTGGCGTTGTTGTCGATTGCTAATCGACATTAAATCCGGCATGTTGCATAGTTTAATCCATGTTGATTTTATGTCCTCGATTATCAAACGTATATTATATTAGCTTAATACGTCCCTTCCAACGTACGTTAAAACTCTTGCAATTGTTTACATTGTATCGATAATTGAGGACGTTAAATGCGTTTATTAAATGTTGTCGAGTTTTGTAACATACAAATTCCATGACATACATTTTCATCCATCGTCAATCTACTGCTAGATGAAGGCATTCCTAAATCATCGCCATTAAACCACAAATCGATCGCAACGTCGGAATGTTGACTGGTAACCTGCATGTGCAGGTTACTGATTGTTACTGATTGTCTGCCCATGTGTACTTTTGTTCGGACTGATATCCAGCAGAAAGCTGGATATAAGAACATCGTATATAAGCGTGCGTACAGGGAGGATGGGGGGCGGGTAAAGTTTTGACAGATTTTTGCGTACCTACTCAATGGATGGCCCCTAATCAAACAATTACATTTACTGAGTATTTGTCATTGGTGACGCCACTGATCATAGCTTTGTCCATAACGTCGTGGGTCGCATCTGCAATCTACCCAATAACTACGGGGCAGCAGCGAAGTTGACGACATTTTCAGCTCAGATTGGTGCGGCAATTGGTGGTGGGGGGCAATAATGTTGAAACATGGTAGTTAAAAATGGGACCTTTTTTGCCAGTATCAAAGTATGAGAACGCCTTTTGGCGTTCTTTGGTCTGACATCGGTGAGTTTCAAAGACAATGCATAGTTTGTTTGCATGTTCACCACAAGTAATGCAGGCATGATTCCTTGCAAAAGGTTTCTATTTGGTGGTTGAACATCTTAACACCTGTTTTATTGCCAGAAAGGGTCAAACCTATTCTTATATATTTTTTCATAGTTGTCAAGGAGGCCCCAACTCGTAGTTCTAGATTTGAAGCTTTCGTGACTGCAAGGATTCATACTCTTAGGTTTTTCTTTGGTAAAGTCACGTCGGTAAAAAATAAATATAAGTAATACAAAAAATAGAAATAATAAAGGAAATAAAAGATATAAAATAGTTCAAATATTTATTTTATTATTTATATTATTTATTTTTATTTTTTACCTACGTGACTTTACCGAAAAAAACCTAAGAGTACCCAACTCGTAGCTTTGGCCACCAGGAGGTTGGGGGGGGGAAGCAAGGCACCCCCTGCCCCCACGCTACTACGAGGAAGCATTCGTTTGAAGGACACACCGCAACTTCCCAAGGGTGGCAGCTCTCCTAGAGTTTGTGGCACTGTCGCCCATGCACAAGCAGTGCACAGAGTCAAGAGCAGATTTTCCCAGCAGGTGGCGCCAATCGCCTTTGTGAAATTATATCTCGACTGGGTGAACAGTGGCGGCATCACCATTCACCCATACCCGTCCATGTTACTCATGTGTGGGTTTACAATTAAGCTCCATGTGCATGCGTTTGTTTTCAATGGCGTATCTGAGCCGAGCCATTGCGGTGCCCTGGCGGATTACGAGCGGTTTTCCAGTGCTGAGCCGGAACCGAACCGTGCTGCACTAGCCTCACACAATACGTACATCTGAATCTGGCTTGGGATCATGTAGGACTAGGGGCGGCTCTAATGACGCGTTCATTGCGTTGTGTTGTCGGTCTGTCCACTGTGAGGGCACAGACTCCCTGCGTCATATACGGTGCATGGTGCGTCTCAACTCACGGCTTCTGCTCGTGGGAAAATAACATGCTGCCTCCACAACCATGCTGGGCTGGCTCGGCACGGCCGCTCGGTTTGTGCAATAGAAAACACGTGTTGTAGTGGTGGTCGTGCAGGCTCACCCAGGGACACCAGCTCAGCTGCTATCGCCTTCCCGATGCCGGTCCCTCCGCCAGTTACGATCGCAACTTTGTTGCTGAACAGCCCGGCTCGGAATACAGACATGGTTACCTGCAGCGAGGACAATACAATGCTCACTTAGACACCACTCACTCACTCACCACTAACTCAGCACTCACTTCGCACTCACTCAGGCACTGCTCACTCACTCAGACACCACTAACTCAGCACTCGCTTACTGCACTCGGACACTTAGTACTCAGACATCACTAAGCATTCTCATTCAATGCTCACCTAGCACTCACTCGTTTAGACAACACTCGCTCAGCACTCGCTCACTGAACACCACTCAACTCAAGACGGCACCCTCTCAACACGGAGCGCTCGAATGCTAGCACAGAAGGCCTGGCCTCACACAAACACTACTCACTCAGACACCCGACTCCGCTGAACAAAGTCCACCACGGAGCTCCAAGTGACACGGGGGGGGGGGGGGGGGGTGGCTTGGCTCGGGAAGTGGCCGAGCCGTCCAACTCGTAGCCACTCCTAACTCGTCAGCGGTGCCGCCCCTCGCTGGTGGCCATGTAGAGAATCGGTGGAAGTTTGCCGGCTTGATGAAACTCCCCGCAGACACGTTGTGTCCTTAAACCCAAAGCCGTAATTACACACACACACCCCAATAATAAAATATGCTCAAAATGTCCCCCCCCCCAATATATTGCTATAAAAATATTTTTCTAAATAATAATTGCGATGCTATGTAAATAAAAACAACAATTTGCTAAACCTTGGCCACAATATCTGGACTTGTCTTCATATAACAATGCATAGATTTCTGTGATTGTGGTTATGGTTGTACTTTATATCTCTGCCATTACATACAATGAAACAAGAAAAGGTAAAAAAGAAAAAAAACAGAGAAATACACTATAAAAAGTCCATCCCATGTGTTTAGCTACGAATAAAAAAAATTGGCCGGATGAAAAAATAATGCGAGCGTTAACGGGGTTCGCTGCTGGGCTCTGGCCCAATCATACGGCGCAGTTTGCGCAGTTCGCGCAGTTCGCGCAAAACAAACACACAAATATTAAAACACACATTTTTAACTTGCATAGTAAAGCAATTGTATTGTTTCATTTGCTATACAGCCAGACAATACGGCAAATCGCTAACCTCATAAAAGTTGAAGGCAGTATAGTACTACAGTAATAGAGCAAGTGCAGAATCACTGAACCCGAATTGATAGCTTGAAAGCATTTAGCGCGGGGCACTTGAAAGTGCGGGACCCGTAGCTTATGTGGCTACTCTTGCTAGGAGGACAATCCGGCAGTGTGCGGTGTGGCGTGAGTCGATGTTGTGTGGAGGAGGGCACGGCGTGACCCGCGTTGACCCCCCGCCCCACTCCGCCCGCATCACCCAGACGCGTCCGCTTGCTCCGCTACATTTGTGTCATTACATCATCCGGCACGCATGCGCAGTGTGTATCTGTGTGTGTGTGGAGAGAGGGAGGGAGGGACGACTCCGCACGTGCCGAGGAAGAGGAAGGAGCGGGAGCGACCACGGGGTCCGCCTGGGTCCCGGCAGTCAAGCCGAGCCGGGGTGGCTGGGGGTGGTGGGGGTGGGGGAGGTCGCAGGCCTACAGACTCGGTGACCCCGGGGTCACCACGTAGGGGTCACTTCCTCCGCCTCGACTACTGCTCCACAGCGAACGCCAAAAACCGGTTCCGGCGTCTGCCTCGCTCTCTGCCGTCTCCTGCAACCCGAGCTCCGATCTCTCAGGCGGCAAGGTATGCGTGTGAGCGAGGGTGGCGATCTGCTGGGGTGGGGGCCATGCGATCCCGTTGTTGTAGTTATTATCATCATCAGCCATGATCAATCCACTGCTGCATCGACGCCTCCTCTAGCCGTCGTAATCCCACACGATCCGGTGATGCGAACGATCCACCTAGGCACGTGCTGTTGGACTGTAGAGTACAATAGCAAATCTATATATTATGGGCGTGTGTGTTAATGAACATGGGTTTGGGTGATTTTGTAAAGACGGGCGAATAAGGCTGGGTCCGTGCAATGCAGCGTCGCCGTGAGACGCCTGACATCAATGCTGGATCCTCCTCCTTGACTCCTCCTCCTCCTCGGCATCCTCGCTTCTTTGTTTCCCGAGCAAGGCGAGGCGGCGTTGTGGGGAGTTCTATTTTCGTTCGATGCGTCTCTCTCCAGGGATTATTCCCGAAGCTGCCTGCCATCTCTCTGCCCTGGTGTCGTGTTCTATCAGACGGGCTGCCCGGCACGAATGCTCTCTCCCTCTCTAATCCAGCTAGGGTTGGCTACGTACGGCGCGAAAGAAGTTCAATCTACATACGTACGTAAACAATTATGACCTGCTGTTCATCATCACCAGCCGTTGTCTTATCCACTGCTGGATGAAGGCCTCCCGTATGCAGTCGACATCCCTCTCTCACGGTTCTGTGCTGTTGCTGCTGGATGTCTCCTGCACATTGGTCGACTACTTTGTGGATGTGGGATGTTGTGTGTGCGAAGAGACAGATATTTTGTTCGTCTCAATACTTTGCTTTTTTGTTTCCCAAAGGCACTCGGTTACCTGCTGTGACATGGATAGGAAACGTGGACATTAACAGAGAAAATGTAACAAAAGCTAAAAAGTGTGCAAAACAGCATGGAGAGGTTCACGCTTGGAATTAGACAGACACAGGAAGTGGAACACATGGATCAGAGAACATACGCAAGTTAGACTCATATTCATTATTAAGAAAGGTGTGTGGACTTGGGCAGGACGCGCTACGAGGAGTGATGATGGCCGGGTGTATTGAGGGGATAGAACACGCACGAGAGGCTGTCCGTCGCAATGAAATCGGTTCTTGTGCAGGTGTTTGATGGAATGGTTATATCCGAGGTTCGTGGGAGGGGGCTTGGGGAGGTATTCATCCAGAAGTGGATTGAACATGGTTGATGATGTTGACTCTACCTGCTTTTTTTGTCGGGCAGCAGTGATGCGGCGAACGTGAGGAGGAAATGGCCTGGTGAGAGAGTCTGCCGAGTACTGAGTATCAAGGTGAGAACCCAGTGGTCGGTTTGGGTTATGGATGGAGTTGTACTGCTTCATCAATTAAACATCGTTTCGTATGCTCGCGGTACATGCACCGAATCACAAGTATCTTCATCGACTATTGCAATCGTGTATGCAAATTCAATGAACAGGGATAAGGTACAACAGTTTCAATGAGACGGTATGAAGAAAACTACTAACGTTTTTATTCAATTGTAGGTCTGAAATGTGATCACTTATTGCATCAGAGAAGTGCAAATCATTACTTGACAACTCATTAGGCCAACGCAGTGGTGGGGAGCCTCTGGCATGCGACGTCATTTCCTACAACTTGCGATCTGCCACTTAGGACCAGCCCACAAATTATAATTATCCAAAGCCTATATTTGCTTGGCTAGTGCAACTTATTATTTAGCTTTTCACTTTTGGTGTTCGCAGCTCCACAGGTGTGCATGTCGGAACGGCAGTGACACCCATCGGCACAGGAGGAGGAGAAAAATCACACGGCAGAGATGGCGGGCAGAACGGAGCAAGAAGAGTCCGAGCGGCCGGCATTGGCGAAGCAACATCAGCCAAAGGAGAAGCGCCGGGCAGCGCACAAAAGCGAGGTTTCAAGTCACGACGTGCCCAGTGGCACCGATGGGGAGAGCGCCAGCACCAGCAGCACCGCCGAGAAGCGCAAGCGCCGCAAGAAAAGGGAGCCGAGGCCCGAGTCGGTTATCATCTTCCGCACGGAGGAAAAGGAGAACGGCGACGAGAATGTGCAGGTGACGGCAACTTCTTGATGTTTGAGCTGCCATTCGCGGAGGCTGCCACTTTCGTGTTGCTTGTTTTATTACGTCACCGTTTGCTCATGACCACAATCACCCAGAATATACCCAATTTTGTTGTATTTTGGAAGCTAAGGAGAGCTGAGCCGAGACAGTATTTGGATGGGCAACCAACACGCATAAAACAGGTGTTGTAGGCCACTGTGGGACTACGTTGGGGGCAGCAGAGGATAGTGCAGCAATATCAGATTGGCTTTGCTCTCCAAGACACCGGTGTAGCTGTACTAGTGACGAATTAGTATGTTCTGTTTACGTGGCAAACCTTACTAATTGACTGTGTCGGGTGGTGGCGGGTTTAACGACACATTTATATTTACGTGATCTAACCCAAAAAACCTGAATTATGGAATATCAATTACTGTACTGTACTTCTATACTCTCCATGTTCACCACTGAAGTATATTAAACATTAACATAACTTGTCATTCTGAAAAAAAACACCATCGTCATTTACATGGAGTACATCTTGGAAGTGCCAGAACAAAGGATATTTGGGATGATTATTCAGCAAGGAGGTGATATCAGACTAAATACAATGTTAAAAAAATGCATGATAGATAACATACATGAATTAAATTAAACAAAATATTAAATCTGAACTCTGCTTAAGATCACTTCCATTTGTCCTCAATGTTGCTTTGTCATGCTACATGCATCACAGGAGCAGAGCGGCAGGGCCGAGGTGGAGGACGTGTGCTTGGAATCCGCGGGAGAAACTCGTCACTTCCCCCCGGCGCTTGTCCCCGGCGCCCCGTGGGACCGCGCCGACGGCCACTATGTGACGCTGACAGGCACCATCACGCGCGGCAAGAAGAAAGGCCAGCTCGTCGACATCCACCTGAGCCTTACCGAAAAGGAGCTGCTCGAGCTGGGCTGTGGACCACCTCCCCAGGCGCCGGTCACAGACAGCGGCGGCGGCAGCGGAGGCACAAACGCCCCGACGACAACGCCAGCTCAGACGCACGGGGTCCAACGGAACAAGTGCCACTCGCGCTGCCGGTGCGGCTTGAACCACGGGCCACACGCCAGCCTGTGGAGCCTGCTGTGCCTGCCGTTCGCCTTTGTCGCATCGCTGGTCGTGGCCTTCTACTACGGCACCATCACCTGGTACAACGTCTTCCTCGTGTACAATGAGCAGCGGACCTTCTGGCACAAGGTGACGCTGTGCCCGCTGCTGATGCTGCTCTACCCTCTGCTCATTGCGGTGACGAGCCTCTCACTGGCGGCGTACGCGGCCGTGGCGCAGCTGTCGTGGTCCTTCACGGCCTGGTGGGGGGCCGTCAGCGACCCCGAGAAGGGCTTCTTTGGTTGGCTGTGCTCGCACCTCGGCTTGGAGGAGTGCGCTCCCTACAGCATCGTGGAGCTCATCGAGTCCGGCGCGGCACCGCCCGGTCACGGCGGCGGAGGTGGCGACGACGATAGCGACGTGGACAGGGGTGCCGTGCGGAGGCCGTTCGCTCAAGGCATTCAAATGTCTTCCGTGTGAAGACGCGCTTGCACACGTGAGCAAATGGAACATCTGTATAGGTGTTTTTGCGGTTGTGCTGTACAGCTCTCCAGTGTGGTTTCGGGTTGTCTACCGCGTGTCGTTCGGCATGATGTCCGACCTCTCACTCAGTGTCTTGTGAGCCTCATTAGAAACTCAACGGAGCTCGCCTCGAACTTAAATGGAAGATTATCCAGTTTCAGTTAAGTTCAGGTTGTGGGTGGATTGGTGTGAAATGTCGGACATCTTGCTGAACAAAACATGGTATGACCCCTAGAATGCACATTGGACAGCAAATTGAATATATTTACAAATGTGTGTGATGCAAGGTTTTCACGTGTTTTTTTTATACTAAACTAAGAAATACTAATGGGGAAAAAGAAACGCCCTAAGTTATTTAATCCATTGCTAATGACAGTCATGTTTTAACGATCTGCAGTGTGATATAGCCTAATTAATTTTAATCGCTTGTGGGCGAGCGTTAAGAATCTGCCAGGGCCTCTCGTCAAGTGGCGCTTGTACGTGTTTTCCAATTGCTCTTTCAAGTGAAGTTTACTCCCAGCACAAGCAACAGGTGCATCCTCCCAGCGTGAACTACTGTCGATTCGCGCAGATGAAGCAAACTAATGCAAATGCCGTGTGTGATGAGTGTTCTGCACCGGGCTGCATTGATCTTTTTTTTATGAACTTCGAATCAACAAAACAGGGTCCTGTTTATGAAGTAGGAGCTGTTGCAATATTTATAACCCTAAACCCTTTGAAAACGACCTTTAAACAGAGGATGAAAATAAATGTTTTCTAAATATGGAACATTTTTGTAATCAAAGGCAACAAATTTAATATTTATACCTTAATGCAGTGCTTTGGAACTCATTTTTTTAAATTAAAATTTACAGAAGCATTGTTGACACATTAAAGTTTACAGCCTTATGTTGTTCAAATTGTACCCAGATATGACTACTATGTCTTGTGACTCGCGTTGTGAAGTGCGTTTGTTTTGTAGACCGCGATCCTGAGAATGCTGTTGTGGTTTGCAGCTTGTTTGTAATCTATTCACACTTTATTATTGTGCCAAAAATGCACGTTATCAGTATATTATCGCATACAAATTACCACTCTGTTCTCTCTCGCGGTGCATCGTGCAAGCGCTGAGATACCTCCCGACAAAAAAAGCGATCGTAGTTAATTCTCCAATCGTCTTCTATTGTAAAAAATACGAGAGCAAGTGTCCTGTGTAATGACGCCACAGTAACTTACAATACCTTGCATTCGTTTTGTTTAGAAAAATTGCAGCTGCGTTGTCAACGGTGGATTCTGGATCTTACACCCCAATGCTTTTTGAGACTTATGGTGCTGTGCAATATACTGATTGCATTTTTTTCGCAAGCTTCTCTACACAAGCCGACTAAAGGTCCTAATTGGAAAAATCCAGGTTGTAATGGCAGTCGCATGGGACGGGCATGCAGGAGGATGAAGTGAATTAGTACGGTGTAATGCCCTTGTTTTATTTAACAGATGATGTTGGCTGGGCTGTGTGCACGAGTTGATGCTTGGAGTTAGCATGGCCTTTTGTTGGCTTTCACGTCGTGAGCGTGCTGTCTTCATTACATCAGTGCCTCCTGAGTTGAGCTACGCACAGGTGTCTGTTTTAATGACCCAACTGTCGGTTTCTAGTATTCCTTGTGTGCGTTCTGTTTACAGTGAAATGTGAACCAATAAAATACATCTTTGTTGACATGTTATTGTACAGTACTTATGCTTGATATTAATACATGTATGTAATCTATATACACTGAATCTGCATACCAATCTATATATATATTACCAATCCATATATATATAAATCGATTATTGAATGGAATAAGGAACCAAATCATGGCAATTTTCCAAACCACTGGAAAGTGTAATCGTTCACGCTTAGTTTGTCATCAGCTATGGACAATACATTGCTCAACGAAGGCCTTTCCAAGCCATCCCCATCTCTCACAATTCTGTGATATAATCCACCTTGCAACTGCGCACGACCTTATTTCATAGCTCATCTCGGCGAATGCCCGTTTATATGCATTCCATTCTTTGGCTGCCACTCCGTCATTGTTATTGACCCTCTGCTGTCATTCCTTCTAGCAACTTTACCAGTCACCTTTTTATACACGTTAATTTAGATGAAGCAATTATTTAGTTTTTAAACCTGTGAGCAGTATTGTAGGACATTTCTAGCCATGACTTTTCAATAATTGTTCCACTTGCCACACCAGCTTAGTCTCAATTCACGAAATCAGCAGTCTGAAAGAAAACTTGCAATTCTGTGATTCATATTTTATCGTTCATAATTATAGTATAAGTTGCATTTTTATGTTAAATCCATGTATTTCAATCTTAACATTAGTGATATCCTAGCAGATGTTTCAGATGTCTTCTCAGTCCATTGTAGGGTTTGAGTACTCACAATCATTCCATGCTCTTGCTGGCCGGCCCCTTTCACAACGAGCCACCACCAATCTTTCCATGAAATATTTCTCAAACCAATTTCCATCTATGTCTGATGTCATCAAAAAATATGTTTTTCTCAGATAAGCATTAGGGCAACACCCATGTCCATTGGCTACCTTGAAAAAATGCTGGAAATTTTTCATTCTCACGACAGGTACCAGGATATCCACATGACCACAAACATACAATACAATTTGTATCCATTAAGCTTTTAAATGTGCCCCGTCTCCAGGCACAACCATCAGAAGGACAGACACCCAGGGGGTTTGGAGGAGAGGAGGTTATTTCTTAAAACATTTTAAGATTTTCAATGAGGTGGTCGAGTGGTGGCGCAGTGGTTGATGCACTGCAATCTTGAAATTTGATTTCGATTCCTAGTCCAATAAAATGTGGCGACTGATCGCTCATATAGCCCTTGCCTCCTATACTAACCCGTTCAGATCAGTGTGGTGAAGTATGGTCACATAAACCCTACGACCTGATCGGCGTGGCAAGGCCTTCATCCAATAATGGATTGACAAAGGGCTGTACATTATTATATAGAGAGGCTGCAGGGGCCAAGAGAGACGTGAACCGATGGCATTGTGAACTTAAGGATAAAGATAAACATAGGGAAGAGAAAGTCAGCACCGTACCAGGCACAAGTGAGAGCAATTAAAGTGTGTAAAGGTCATTGGGCCATTGCTGTAAAATAACTTATCGGTACCACCTAGTGTGGCCAATGCTACCAATGATTTTCTTGAAGCATTTTATCTCTATATCACAAATATATATGGTGACCGTGGCAGCTGCTTATGAGAAAAATGTCAAAGAAGGGTATCGTAGTACGTTTGACAGAGATTATCGTTTTGGTTTGGAAATGCGATATTGAACATCTACAGGATATTAACGTAGAAATGAGGTATTTATATAACATATAGAATATACGATAGCCTATGATTTATGCTCTTTGTGAAGGCTACAACAGTATGTAAGTTTCATCTTCTTGGTTCTTTCGGTAAAGTCACGTAGAATGGAAATAATAAATAATGGAAATAAAATAATTTTCACGTTTCGGCCACAACGCAAGCAGCCGTCCTCAGGTGGAGAACAGGTCTGTCGAAAAGACAGAGTCTGAACAGACCTGTTCTCCACCTGAGGACGGCTGCTTGCGTTGTGGCCGAAACGTCGTGATAATTTTATTATGTTTTATTTTTATTATTTTATGATTTCCATTCTACGTGACTTTACCGAAAGAACCAAGAAGATGAATCCCTGCAGTCACGAAAGTTTTAAATCGAAAAGTATGTAAGTTTGTTGAACTTCTTTCGCACCGTATGTGGCCAACCGTGTTAATCGGAGGTGCGGGGGGAGGACACACAGTCGTAGCATTTGCCACTCCGGGTGGAACCTACCAATCCCAATGCTTCATGAGCTATAATGGGGAGAGTAATAATAATAACACTGTCCAAATAAATGCACCTCCCTCTTTGGCGTGCACCACGGGCCACGAGAGATGCGTGGGCGAGTGAGGCTACCGAGGCTCAAAACCAACAAAATGAGGTCACGAACAAGCGACTTTGTTACCATTGTTCTGTATAAATCTCTTACAATAATCTCTAACGCCAGGGCGCTTTGGCTCACGATAATGCGGCTCCAATATGAAAAGGCAACTCCTGGCCAAAGCGCCCACGGCCAGGATTGCAGGAAGAGGACAGCGCAACCCAGCTGCGGCGCGCGTTAAAACACGCGACAAACATTAACAGCCAACACAATTCAACTGGCCCTCAACCCAACCGGCCCTCAACCCAACCAGCATTCAAATCAACAAGTATTCAACTCAACCAGCCCCCCAACTCAACCAGCATTCAACTCCATTAGCCCTCAACTGAAGTAGCTCTCAACTCCAACAGCCCTCAATTAATCTAGTACTCAGGTCAGATTCCTCTCAACTTACGACTCGACTAAGCACAAAATAAAATGTTAAAACACCAAACTGAAACCTTTTACAAGGAATCATGTCTGCATTAACCACAATACTTGTGGTCAGAATGCAAACAAAAAGATCCTCTGATAATATATGCATTGTCTTTGAAACTGATTGGTCCACACCAGAAACAGCTTTCTTTTGAGCCTAGTCTCAAAACGGTGTTAGACAAGAGGACGCATCTGAGGATGTACCCAATATACATATTCTGCTTTTTGTTTAAAATGTTAACTTATTTGATGTTCGTCGTATTATTTTCTGGTCCGCAGGAAAAGCCTGATGCGCTGCACCGATGAGTCACGACTAACCCCGCGCGCACACGACGCTAATCATACCCGCCGCATCAAACACCGTAAGTGCATTCCACTTAGTTGGTCAATCTCAGCAACATCCAATTTCCGCTTGCATGAATCACCCACTGTGACGATTCATACAATCAACCTGCAGACTGTATAACAGGCGGGGAGCGTGTTCTGTGGATGTTATACTAGAAACAGTGGAGCGACTTGATAGTTGTGAATAGAGCGTGGGAGTAAAGCAACAGAGGTGTAATCAGGATGTTGTGACGAGTGGGGGTGGGGAGACACGTGTGCATGGCAGAGGTCGCAACTGCCTACCCGATACCCGTACCCTACCCGATACCCGGCTACGGGTACGGGTACCCGTTTGCGACCCTGGTGCGGCCGGGTACGGGTAGGCCGTGAGTCACTCATGAGTAACTGTTTGTCACTCATTTCCCAACGTCTTGTCTCTTCTCACAATTCAAGTTCCTAGAATCCACCCACCCGCGCCTGCAACATGGCTTCATCCCAGAGGTCGCAATCGGGTACCCGATACCCGTACCCTACCCGGCCGGGTACGGGTAGGGTACGGGTACGGCCGGGTACGGGTAAGGAATCAAAACCCGATTGCGACCTCTGGTGCAGGGTGGTGGTTGGACGATGTTACGAGACAAGCACTGGAGTGGCACCCAGAGGTCTGCGACCAAAGGAAGACCTGACGCCAGATGGTGGCTTTCGTGATGATGAACCTGTAAGAGCATACCCGGTGTGCCTGGTGTCGACTTTGCAACACCTGAAGAATATGAGAGCAAATGAATTATAGGGAGATGTGGCTGCAGAAACAGCATCGGACGTGAAAGATTCCAGGACGTTGAACTAAAATGAGAAGCTGTTTGACGACTTTAGTGGTGGGTAAGGTGTGGGTGCTCCCACCTCTGCCGAGACGTCTCGTGAGCGTGAAAGAGTAGGCCAAATACTGTAAAATTTACAGGGGCTCAATATGGTTCCCTCCAATGGCGTACCCTTCTACCAGCAGCGGCGCGAGCAAAGCAATTACATCATAAGGGGCCGTCCATAAATGACGTCACGCGATTTCTGACGATTTTTGACACCCCCCCCCCCTCGTCACACGGCGTCACCAAAAGTCAAACCCCCCGTCAAATATGACGTCACAAAGCTCTCCCCCCCCCCCCCCCCCCAAAAATATAAAACATGCTTTAAATCGCTTTAAACTATTGTCATTGTAGTGTGTGTATTTAATGTGGCGCTGCACTTCTGATGTTGTAGGAGAAAACATTTATTAAAAACTATATTTAATTAAGTAGAACGTGTTGTCCATATTTATTTAAAGTTGCGCATTTTGATGTGACGTCACATTTCTCACCCCCCCCCCCGCCTCGTCACACATCGTCACAAATGTCTGACCCCCCCCCCCCTAGGTGCGTGACGTCATTTATGGACGGCCCCTAATCGTAAAAAAAATGTGGTCCTGATAATGCACGTGGAAGCAAAGTGTCGCCACCGTAGAGCAAATGCATACATCGCTAGACATCTGGGGGTATGTCGCGGCGCTCTCATCAGATGCATCTTACCACCGCTGCCGTGAGGTTCACACAGCAAGGGGCACATGCTGCTCTGGATTGACCTTCATAATCGAGAATGTATTCACGCGTAAAGCGCCTGCTTACATTTGTACAACAAAATCTCAACAGAGCGCGCTTGACATCCTCTGTCGGGCAGCGCTCGTAATCGTGAAGGGTTAAAAGGGGTTCCATTATTACGAGCCATGATCAATCCACTGCTGGATGTAGGCCTCCCCAAGCCGTCGACATTTGTCACGATCCTGCGATGGCAGAATCCCCGTCACACCTGCACACGAGCTGATTTCATCGATCCATCTCCTCGACAGACTGCTCTCAATAAGGGTTGTATTTATTAATTACATTTAAGGCATTGTGGTGATGGTATACAAGGACACCCCCCAGTACAATGCATTAACGA